TCCCCGAAGGCGCTCGAGCGAGAGCGGGTTCGGTCGGGCCTTCTCGTGGCTAGCGTGTGCACGGGGACGGGCGTCCAAGCGCCGGGTGGGCATGTCAGGAACCTGTGCAACAACGTTGCTTTCGCTGCCGTCAGGTCCAAAAGGCGATCCGGAATCGCACTATGGTCGCTATTCGATTTAGCTGTCTCAGGCCACGTTCTAGAACTCGTTGCAATCAGCCGACGAGAGGCTCCTGATGGGGCTCGGCAGGCAAGCGCGGAGAGACACAGGTCTCAACGATAAAGCCGAAGGGCTACACTGCCACGCGCAATCCTTCCAAGGGGGAGAACCTGTCGGCAGAATCTGGCAAAGCATTGCCCAGCTCGATTGGGCGTGGCCCGAGTTCGCCGCCGCGTGCGACGACTAGTGCTCCCGTCTTTCATGGATTCACGAGCCAGCCGGTCTCTTCGCGCGCGTGCTTTGGGCCGCGTGACGGAGATATGTCCTCCGGCGCGCCCCGGGCGCCGGACATGATCTCGGAGCCGTCGCCGCCGACAAGCAGGGCCTTCGCTGCTGTGCCAGCGCGTGGCTCCTCAAAACCAAAAGCAAAGCCAAATGCCTTGCCTGGCAACGCGGCATCCTCTGCAACTGCATCTGCGGGGGTGACCGCGCCCAGCGGAGGAGCGTCCAGGAGGGCATCTCGGCTGACCTATTTCCCTTATGCAGATGGTGCGACTAAAAAGAATAATCCAGGATCGCGCAGCGTGGACGTGTCCATGCTGGGAAAATCAGAAGACCGCCTTCAAAACCATAATCGCCGAGCAGCAACGGCAGGACCTCCCGCCGCGCGCGAGGCGCTGCGGCCTCCACGAGGAATGCCCCGGCCTGTTCGACCTGCAGGCTGCCCTGGCTGACGACCAGCTCCCACGGCCTGTCCCGAAACCACCCCGAGGGATCCCAAATGACAGCCAGATGGGTGGGCGTGGCGATTGATGGGGCTACATTCGGGGTTTACTATCCATCTAAACCATTCCGCCCGTTTGCACGGTCTTGCGCAGTCGGAGCAATGGGCAGCCGAAAGGCCAGTGCACGTTTTCGTCGAGAACCGGGCGGTCGTCGACGGACTTGAAGACTTGCTTTAAAAAGGAAAACCGCCATAACGGGTGGGGCCGCAAGCCGATTTGCAGAACATCTTCTGGATACACCAAGCGCAACCCGATTTGTTCAACTCCACATGGTGGAAGCCATTTGGGAAATCAGAGCATCGGCGGACGCCGCCAAGTGGCGCCGCAAGTTCGCCGCTGTCATTCACGCCGCGGCCGTCGCAATGCACGACTTGCGACGCCGGGCGCTGAGGCTCCCCCGCCAGAGAGCGGGGTGCTCAGGGTCAGAGCTCTCCAAGGTGGCGCCAAGCCTGCTCACCATCGGTCTTGGGTGGCTGGGTGGGGCGTGGCCCAGGCGCGCAAAGATGACCACCTCCCAGTATACAATCGCGAGCGCAAGAGGCCCTCAGCGGCCTGCGACAGGCCTTCCTGCCTGCAGTCGCTATGCGGGCACCCTTCCCTGCCAACCCCAAAGCCTTCTTCGATGCCGCGTGCGGCACAGCAGTGCTAGCCCCCCCTCTCTCCCTTCCACGGACCACGAGCACAGTTGACATTTGACCGGCCGTTGTGGGACGGGGGAGCCAGCAGGTGAGAGGCCAGGTGGAGCCTCGATTTGGGTCGAGGGGCCAGCAGGCGCGCCAATGTTTGGACGCGGGCTCTCCGCTTGCACGAGGGACGGCCAGAGCGCCCCAAGTTCCAGGGACGCCAGCCCGCGGAGCTGAGGCGTCGACGGTCTTGGATTTCTCGGGGAATGCGCGGGCTGATTTCTTCCCGAATGTCAAGGCGGCGTCTTTCAATTCCCATGGTCGCCGAGGTGCGCATGCCAAAGCGTGCTAAAAGCCGGCGCCCCTCTTTTTCGTCACGGGGGCGCACCCGTTTTTTTTCCAGACGGGGTCTTTGTGACCGCGCCAGGGGGGGTTAAACCTACCATCTCCGTTAACTACATATGCGGCGCCTCTCGCTATTGCGAGGACGGCCTGCGGGGCGCTCCAAGCCCGGGGGCCGGGGCTGACACGCGGCCCTAAGTGTTGCGATCTCCTCTCCTCTCCTCTCCTCTCCTCTCCTCTCCTCTCCTCTCCTCTCCTCTCCTATTCTCTCCTCTCCTCTCCTCTCCTCTCTGCTCTTCTCCTCTCCTTACATCTCCTCTCCTCTCCTCTCTTCTCCTCTCCTCTCCTCCTCCCTCCTCCATTTGCTCTGCCTTCCGCATGTCCGTTTTGGAACACAATTTCGCGCACCCATTGGGAGCTCCACCGAAGCTCCCAGTGGCTGAGTTTACATAGTCATCCACTCCATGTCGGCAGCCCCCTCAACCGCTTCGTGGACCCACTGGGAGCTTCGCCAGAGGCCTCAGTGGCAGATTTCATATGGTGCCCCGCCCCGTTTCGGCAGAAGCCTCACACGTTTCGTGGCCCCATAGGCCATGCGAAACTCCGGCGACGGCCTCAGTGGAAGAGTTCGCATGATACGCCGCCCCGTTTCGGCAGACCCTTCTCACGTGACGTGGCCCCCATAGGGAGCTCCAATAAAGGCCCCAGTGGCACGGTTCACCTGGTGACCTGCCCCATTTCCGCACACCGCCTCACACGTTTCGAGGCCCCCAGGGAGCTCCACCGATGGCCCCAGTGGCAGGCTTCGCATGGTGACCTGCCCTAGTTCGGCACACCCCTTCACACTATCGTGGCCTCGTTGAGCAGCTCCAGATTAACCGTCTCATGTCGGCAGACACATCACACGTTCCGTGGCCCTCTAAGGATCTTCGACGAAGTTTCCAGTGCCAGGGTTTGCATGTTTACCCGCCCCATGTCGGGACGCTCCTTACACGTTTCGTGGCTTCTTAGCTGCATCGAAGGCCCCAGTAGCAGGTTCACACGGTGACCCGCCCCGTTTCGTTTGCCTCACACGTTTCGTGGCCCCACAGGGAGCCCCACTAAAGGCACCAGTGGCTGGGTTCACATGGCGATCCAGTTCATGTCGGCAGACCCCTCACACGTTTAGTGGACCCATTTGGAGCTCAACCAGGGGCCCCAGTGGCTGGGGTCACATTGTGCCCCGCCCCATTTCGGCAGACCCTTCACGCGCTTCGTGGACCCATAATGAGCTCCACCGAAGGCCCAAGTGGCAAGGTTCACATGATGCCCCGCCCAAGTTCGGCACACCCCTCACACGTTTCGTGGCCCCATAAGGCTCCAGTGGCTGCGTTCGCATGGTGCCTCGTCCCATGTCGGAAGGCTCCACACCTTGCTTTATAGCGTCTAGGGAGCTCCACCGAGAGCTCTGGTGGCTGCGTTCACATGGCTTCGCCCTGCCCTATTTCGGCATTTTCTTCATACTCTTTGCGCTCCCCCCGTTTGCGATTTGAATCGAGAGAGTGCGTGCATGAATCGGGAACGCTTACTGCAGCGTGACGTTCATTGGAGAAGCATTCAGGGGTACATCCAGTTTGTTATTGTATTGAACGGTCCTTTCTTAGCCGCTATGTGTTTAGAAAGGGTTAGGTTCTTCGCCAGGCTAGTTGAGGAGGACGGGGGTCCCAGCGTGCAGCGGGCAATGTGCTCCCGCCCCCACCGTGTGCCCAAATGCTGGACTTTGGCGCACACCGTGGCTGAAACCGTGGCCGCTGCGACACCTCACTTGGAGTGCGTCGTCCTGGGGGTACGTTCCAATGTCCCCCACGGTATTATTGTCTCAAGCGGCGGTGCCTCCTCGATTTCGGCCCTCGCGGGACGTTTTCGGGCCCAGGACCATCAAGCATTGATCTGTGACGATCAATTATCCCCAGGGAATTCGCGACTGTGGGGCCGAGGATTGAAAATCCACATCGGTGGATGGTAGGGTTCGGTACTGGCTAATGGCACGGCTTCTCTTCCAAGTCCAGCTTTAGGCAATGATTCTGCCACCTTCCGACTTCACCGTTTCAGCCCTCGGAGGACGCCAAATGCGCTGATAAGATCCCCCCGCTCGGCCCCCTTGAGGTGCGCCCTCGTCGGTGGATCCCCTCGCTATCGCTGATAGCGGGCATGGCACGGGTGTCGTGGTCGGTTTGGGAGAGGGGGGAAGAAGGGAGTTGTGCAATGGCTTTGGGTGGGAGGACCAGGATCGAGGGAGCAAGATGAGGCGCGGTGATCACCACGGGACCTCTCCCTTGCTCATAGGCACTCCAAAACCGTTCCGCCTCGGAACAGCGAGTGTTTTTTGGGGGGCCAACGCCCATTGCCAGGATTTAGATGGCTATTCTACGGACGCACGGTAGTTGGGCAGGGGAGCAAGCAATGACAGATTGCGGCCAGGATGCATTGCGTTTTCTAGAGCCCAGAGCGGTGGGCGCGTACGTGCGCTGTTTGAGGGGGTTGGTGCAGAAAGGGCGGAACTCGGAAAGGCAGAGTGTTGAGGGTTTGCAAGGAACGCAATGCGGTACGATAATGCGGAAGCGCAGGGACGAGCGCATAAGCTGTGATTCGTTGTGACAGTGTATAGCAGCAGGTCGGTTTCATGACGGTGGATGCGGTTGCTGCGCTAGTGCGTGGGCTGGCGGGTGATGCGCAAAAGTGGGGGGACAGCGTGCAGACCGATGGCATAGTGAGGGGAGCTTGCGCACTGTCAGTCTGCGCGCGGTCACAGCAGGAGGCTGCTTTCATTTCGGTCCATTCAGTGGGGGCTTGACATTCTGGGGCTCGGCAAGGGGGGGGTGCTGACACCGACACCCAATCGCCCATGAATCGCCAATCTGGGCATGCCCGCTTCGCCCCTTCCGCCCAGTACCGTGCGGTCTTGCTATCCTGTCCCTATCGGCGATGCATCGCCGATCCAAGGTCAATGCCTCCACCCCTTAGTAAGTCCCCCCGATCGTTCGCTCTCATTGGTCCAGGCAGTGGGGGCTTGGCAGGGTGATGCACCAGTTTGTCGGGGGACGTGCCACAGGCCCACTACCAGCCCTACGCGACGATGCCAGCGCCCTGGGGCCAGCTCCCTCGTTACAACGGCTACGCTACAAGGCAAGCTGAGATGCTGAGCTGGTGACTGGAACAAGAAAGGTGAATGTTGGTATAGTTCCAGAGTCACGCAGATCGAGCAATGAAAGGCCTCACAGGGGCATATATATACACATATGTACATGTATGTATTTTTGCATGTCTGTCCATCCACATACATACAGACAATACAAGGCTGCGTTGGCGTTTCGCGCCATGCACCTTGGTCTTTGAAGTTCGGCATGTAGGCGGAAGGGCAGGAAGGTAAAACATACCTTTCAGTGATAACTCCTTGTTGCCTGTTCCGACATCGCCGTTCACGTATTTCATCATCCTTCCTTCATGTTTCCTCTTTCTCTTCCCCATTTTCGCCCAACCGTGCGAATTATTTTCCATCCTCCTCAACTCTTTATGCGGAGGCTCTTCCTTGGAGAGCCTCTGGGGGGCCTCACGACAGATTTTAAAGGCTCCTTGGTGCCGTCTGGAGGCCTCCTTGGCCCCTTCTGGGGGCCTCTGGGGGCTTCCTCGGGCCACCCTACTTCCAACCGCGGTCTGCCTGAACGACCGGGTCACGATTTGGAATGTGTCGTGGAGCCCTTTTTTTAGCTGCGCGAGAGGTCGCCCCGTGGCTAAGGGAAAGGGGAGGGAAAGCAGCAGGGGGGAAGAACAAGACGAGAAGCAGCAGCAACAGCAACAGCAGCAGCAGCAGCAGCAGCAGCAGCAGCAGCAGCAGCAGAAACAGCAAGCAGCAAGCAGCAAGCAGGCAGCAATAAGCAGCAAGCAGCAAGGAGCAAGGAGCAAGCAGCAAGCAGCAGCAGCAAGCAGCAGCAGCAAGCAAGCAAGCAAGCAAGCAAGCAAACAAGTAAACAAGCAAGCAAGCGAGCAAGCAAGCAAGCAAGCAAACAAGCAAGCAAGCAAGCAAGCAAGCAGCAGCAACACCAGCAGCAGCAAGCAGTGCAAGGCGCGGCCGGCGGCCGCCTTCCGGCGCCCCGACCATGCGGGGCGCGCGCCCGGGCCCAGCGGCGGCTCCGCTAGGAGCCGCCCACGGTCGCGGCCGCTCCAGCCGCGCCGCGGGGCCCAGGGTGGCCCGGGCGCGCGCCGCCGCCTCCAGCCGCGCCGCCGCCTCCCGCGCCTCCGGAAAGGCGCGCCAGGCCGCGGCCCGCGCCAGCAACGCGTCGGCCTGGGCCGCCTCCGGGAGGCCGGCCAGGCCGGCCCGCTCAAAGAGAGCGGCCGCCGCGCCGTCCTGGGGCCAGCGGCCGGCGTCCCGTCGCCGCCGGCTGCGCCTCTGTCCGCCAGCTGCGCCGGCGCTGAAGCGGCTGGCTCCCGCCGCCCTGCTGCCGGCCACGCCGCCTGCGCGGCGGGCGCCCGCGCTGGCGTCGGCGCTCCGCCGCCGTGCTCCAGCCGCCGGAGTCCCCACCGCTGCTGGCGGCCTTGCCGCGCGCGTGCAGCTCGCCGACGCCGTCGTCTCAGTCGACGGCATCGGCCAGTCCGCGGTGCAGTGCGTCGGTTCGCGGTGGCGTGGCCACCGCCGAACGAACAACACCCGCCGCCTCCACCTCCACCGGGCCTGACCTGGGAGGCAGCGCCGCCTCCACCTCCACCAGGCCTGGCCTGGGAGGCACCTTCACCGACCTCGTGCCGGGAGGCGAAGCGACCTTGACCTCGCAGCCGGCGGCCCTGCCGCGCCCTAGGCGGGCGTCGCCAGCCTGCCAGCTGCGAGCAGCCTCGTCACCTCGACCGGGCTGGGGGCCACGAGAAAGGGGCGCTCCGCCGGATGGCGATTTGGGAGCGGCGGCACCTCGACCAGACCAGGGTCTCTGGGAGGGCAGTTGAACTCCGCTTCTTTGGGCCGAGCTGCGGTGGAGGGCGCCGCGTGGGCTGGGGCCCAATCGCGCCACCTCCCCAGAGGTTGGATCCGGCCTTCTTTGGGGCACAGAGAAAATCTATGACCAATCCATTTGGCCATGATAGCATGAAGGCGATTTTACACGCGTATGGAATGGCCATAACATGATAAACATAAATGGCATGGACATAACACAGTATTAGTTCGTCATGCTATTCTCCGAATAGAGCAGTGCTCGAACATATTAGGGTTCGCTTGCATGCGGACGCGTCGCAATCTCTGGTCGACGCGGTGACAGACGCACGCACGCAACGAAACCAACGCACGCACACGGCGCTTACGTTCCGAGACCGCGCGGCACATAGTCCAAGTAATTTAGGGGCGGAGGAGGAGAAGGAGGCGAAAGAGGAGGAGGAGGCGGAGGAGGAATAATAACATTGTTCACCATCCAGTGCAATTCGCATGTTGCAGCGCAGCAGCAGCGTTCTACGTCTGTTTGCCGTATTTTTTCGGTGCGGAAGCAGACGCATAACCAAACCACGAACGCGAAAGATTTCCTGAGTGTTGAGCCAGGACCGTATTCGAGAACCATCGAAGGTTGGGAGGAGGTGGATAAGGAGGAGGAGGGGAGTGAGAGGAGGAAAAAGGGGAGGAGGAAAGGGGGGAGGAGGAGGAGGAGGAGGAGAACGACGAGGAGGAGGACGAGGAGGAGGACGAGGAGGCTCCCCCTATTGATGTTCTGTTGTTGCTCAGTGCAATTTCCTTTCCCGCTGCTACAGGCTCCCCCACAGCCGAAAGCGGTCCACGGGGCCCGTGACCCTTCCGAAGCTGCCCTGAGACCGCCCAAGAGGCTTCCAAACTGGTTTATTCACGTGTGCCACAGACATTTCGCCAATGTGCATGGCAACCCTCCAGCGAGCGGACTTGTAAACATTTTTGCATTGGCAGTCTGATCTTGACTCGCTCAGGGAAAGTCGCTGTTCAGGATCTCTCAGTCGTAGCTTTGTGCGCTGGTCACTTCTCGATGTTTGTTGTCCCTCGGGCTCCCCGCATCGGGATTGGCCACACGCCAACTCAACAGAAATGTCTCACTTCTGCTGCTGCGCACCCGGCCAGAGCATTCTGCGCCTGCCCCGCAGCCACACGAGGTCCTGGAGTCATTTTGGCACGATGGTTGAACGAGGATTCTCCCTGTGTCGCGCGCGAGACGTAAGGTACGGGTTGGTTTCCCTGCGTGCTTGGTGACCACGGTTCTGCGAATTGTTCACGGCTCTGTATTTGCGCGCCATCTGCGTTGATGCTCTGGGGGTGCAGGAAGGTCTCCAGGATCTCCAGCTTCTGCCAGCCGCTCTAGTATTGGGAACGGGCCCGCGCCCACTCAACAAAAACATCGGCATGTCTGTTGTTACGTACCATCAGACACGCGGTCCCAGGGTATAGCTTCAACCTGCCGCCTCAGTAGTCGGAATGGGCCTACGCACGCCGAGCAGTACTATGTACAGTTGTATGGTGCTGCGCGCCAGGACGTCGGCCGGCGGGCCGGCCTCCTCCCTTCAGTGTTACCCTTTTGCATGCTTGACGGCATTATCCCTTCTTCCTCATGTCATCGGCGGAGCCCACTGACCATGATATATTATCGGAACATCTTACAGGGATTCTTAATATCCAGGCACAAGTCTGGTTATCAGCCGAAACGACGGCACAGCCGTTAGCTTCGCAGTGCATGGGATCGCAAGAAGGAGCGCTCGGACGAACAGAAGATCTATACCCTTTCGATCGTAACGAAAGTGTAGATGCCTCGATGAGGCGACAAAATTCTTTCAATCTTCCCAGAAAGCAAGCATCAGAGACTGTGTTTGAGTTGACAGTAGGGGATTCCTCGGTTGACGCGGTGACAAGGTCCAGAGCACAAGCCTCGGGCGGAAGGTATGGCGCAGCCAAAACTTCCGCCGAGGGACCATCTGAGTTGGCGTCGGTGCACCGGGGCTTTCAGCCATCGATTGACCTAGACTTTGAGATGGAGAAGTTGTTGGATCGCGCCCCCATAGGAATGGCGGGCGCCGAGAGTCCTGGCGCAGAACGCGCAGCGCAGTTCGCGTTGCATGGGCAGAGCGAGGATGTGAGCGACTTGCAATCGGAAGGGGACAGTTCTCATTCTATTGAAAAAGGGCAAAGAAAATGCCCGATTCCAGGCCTCGCCTGGTCCATCGCATCTTCTCGATCCTCTCCCCGATGGACGCGTCGGGCTCGCCTCGGGCGCAGCCCCGTTAGCGAGCGCGACAGTCGACCGTGTAACGGTTGAGGCAATTCAGCAGACAGTTCTTGATTCGGATGGCGATCTCGAAGACGGAGGGCGCCCAGACCGAGGTGGATGCTTGTCGACGCAGCCGATGTCGAGCTCCCCCGATGTCATGCGCGCGATGAAGAATACACGATAATCTACAGGCATGACTCCCCATCCAATGACGAAGAAGCCGAAAGGTGAGAACGATGACTCAAATTCTTCACTTCTCTTGCAAGGTTTCTACCGACCAGACTTCTCATTGCCGAGGACTAACAGGGACGGAGTACCAGAACTTGATGAGCTCGTAATGCAATGCGAAAGAGGCGATTTAGCACAGAGTCGGGGCGTCGATTTCATCAATATGGGGTGTGGGAACAAGAGAACAACGCACGCCTGCCTCCAGCAGTGCGCGGGGGCATTCCAGCAAGGCCCCCAGGGCCAGACGTGCCAGTTCTAGGGGGCTCGACGCCATTGGATCACCGCAGTTGTCATCGAATAGAACCGCCAGCAGCTGATCGACTCAGGGAAGTTGCTGGAAAGGCGGGCCCGCGTGCCCGACGCGGGCGGAGAATCGACGCTCAGGGAAGGCGCGCAAACCGGGGGCTTCATGTCGAAGGCCAGTGTGTTCACGATGTTCGAATGTTTGTCCTAAGTGTAGTCTAGCATGGATTTGCGAGGAATGCGTTGCGATGGAAGAGCGCGGTTGCCATCATTTCGCCATTCAAGAGTGGGCGGGGAGGAGTGGGCAGGATCGAGAACAGTGAAGGGCCTCGAGTGTGCAAAATGCAACGGTTCATCCTTGAGGCACAGGTAGGTAAGTAGGCCGCTGAAGAGGCTATGGCAGAGAGGCAGGCTATGGCGCAAAAGGTGGAATATGAGAAGACTGCCATCGCGGAAAATGCGCAGAAACGGATGCAGCATGCCGGGGCCAGCGTGGCGGGAGTTGCAGACGAAGCCCAGCGGCGCCTTGCCCAAGAGGAGAATGAGATATTGAGAGTGCAGAGTATAGCCGAACAACAGGTGTCAGACTCCCAGCAGAAGGCTGAGAGGGAGAAAGCTGAATACAGAGAAATTGCTGATGCAGCCAGGAGGGGGGGAGAGAATGGGGCCCGAGAGCAAGTGGCGCGAGAAAATCTTGAGCTTCGCAATCAACTTGAAGCTGCTTGACTCGAGGCCGAAAGAGTATCAGCGGAAGCCCTGCGAGCCTTTCGAGAACAAGAACAAAAAGCCCAGGTAATCAGAGATGAGGGCCGGAAGAGAATGGCCTTTGCCTGTGGTCGTCTGAAAGGGCACGCATATGAACATATATGAAACAATGTTCTTGCCACTCGGGCCGTGAGCGAGGAAAACGGGAGGTTAAGCTGTGGCCTGGAGCAGCGTCGGATGGACAGAGAACCGCGGGATAAGGTCCGGTTAACCAGGCAACCCGCGGCATAATCTTCGCCGAGAGTAGGGTCCACGACTGCGGCTTCGCCGGCAGAAGTGGGCCCCGAGGAAAAGGTCGGATCAACGCAGGCACAGTTGGCGCATGTTGAGCCGCCCCCTCGCCCGATCGCTGCTCGCCCCATTCGGAAGCCTGGCGCCGCGCCAGGTCAAACACGAACAGGCAATCCGAGTCTGATCTGTCACCTTTGTACCGAACCTTCAATCTAGGTGTGCGAGGGTTGTTTGAAGCGCATATGTAGGGATCATCTGGGCATGGGTAACAAGTGGTGTGATGAGTGCGCTTGGAAGAGAGAGTTTGGACCACAGGATGATCGCGAGGAGAGGGGAGAACCTCGAGGCATACCTGATACTCAGCGGGCCAAAAACGATCCCGATCAAAAGGCACCAAGACACTCGGTTTTGTTTGAGGATGTTGGACCCGAACGCAAGACAAGCAATATTGCTGATCTTTTTTGGGCATGCCAGTATTCAAATCAGAAAAGTCGGATTCTGGTAACATGTCAATGCTGACTGCTCCGTCTGTATCACCGTTTCCTCTCGCAAAATAACATTTCATTCTTGGACCGGCTGTCGAGAAGTCTCTTGGAGCGAGCGAAGGTTCGATGCGGGAGTGCGCCCAAGGAACGAATCTTGGGAATGTCCCTTCCAGTGCCAAGATATCAGGGCTTCCTGACAACCTCGACTTGCCTGGGCACCTTCCTCTCACCATCGGCTCTGCCGCGACTGGTGAAGGTGGGGATCCGGCAGGACACGACGACGATAAGAGAGACGATCAGAGTACAGGTCCCGGCACCGGCATGATCGTGGCAATACAGTTTGACGAAACATGTAAGCCCAAGCCACCCAAAGGCCCTCCAGGGGGACCTGGTGGCGACGGTGATCCAGACGGAAACGGCGGCGGGGGGCCGAACGGCCACAATGACCCAATTTGGCGGCCGTTTAATACCAATCAAATGGATGTGAATTCGAGGAGCCTTGGGAATGGGAGCAACATTACATAGGAGTGGTAGCTGGATCATGGCATGATGTTCGTGCGGCACAGACATGGGTTGCTGACGCCATGGAACCCGATGTGCCGAAGGAGAACCTTAGAGACTCAGGGGCATTGATGCGCCTTGAAGTTGGCTGAGGACGTGCAGGACATTGATAATGATGGTGATGACGATGAGGACGAGGAGGAACAGCAGGAGGAGGAGGAGGGGGAGGAGGAGGAAGAGGAGGAGGAATAGGACGATGGGGGAGGAGGAGGCGCAGAGGGGGAAAACAAATGATGAGAACGAGGGGGATGAGGAGGAGGAGGAGGAGGAGGAGGAGGAGGACGAGGAGGAGGAGGAGGAGGAGGAGGAGGGTGAGGACAAACGGAGGCCAGATGGGAACAGAACACAGAGCCGGGATAAACATCTCAAGGGCGCCGAAGGCCAGGACGGATATACACATTCAGAAAGAACGCGGCAACAACAGACACCATGCGCAGCGGAAAACAAACCATGATGATGGTGATATCGCGGTAAGGCTAGCAACAATCGTCACGACGGCGTTCCAGAGAGTGATTGCGATCAAATTGGCTTCTACCAGCCGCGAGGGGCGCTACAGGGTATCAACTGTAGTAGTCGCAGTAATCATAGTACTGGCAGCAGTAGTAGTTGTCGTCGTCGTAGTGGTAGTGGTGGTAGTCGTAGTTGTAGTAGTTGTAGTTGTAGTAGTAGTAGTAGTAGTAGTAGTAGTAGTAGTAGTAGTAGTAGTAGTAGTAGTAGTAGTAGTAGTAGTAGTAGTAGTAGTAGTAGTAGTAGTAGTAGTAGTAGTAGTAGTAGTAGTAGTAGTAGTAGTAGTAGTATGTAGTAGTAGTAGGTAGTAGTAGTAAGTAGTAGTAGTAGTAGTAGTAGTAGTAGTAGTAGTAGTAGTAGTAGTAGTAGTAGTAGTAGTAGTAGTAGTAGTAGTAGTAGTAGTAGTAGTAGTAGTAGTAGTCGTAGTAGTCGTAGTAGTAGTAGTAGTAGTAGTAGTAGTAGTAGTAGTAGTAGTAGTAGTAACTGTAGTATTAATAGTAGGAGTAGTAGTTGTATTAGTTGTGGTAGTAGTAGTAGTAGTAGTTGTAGTAGTAATAGTAGTAGTAGTAGTAGTAGTAGTAGTAGTAGTCGTAGTAGTCGTAGTAGTAGTAGTAGTAGTAGTAGTAGTAGTAGTAGTAGTAGTAGTAGTCGTAGTAGTGGTAGTGGTAGTAGTAGTAGTATTATTATTATTAGTAGTAGTAGTAGTAGTAGTAGTAGAAGTAGTAGTAGTGGTAGTAGTAGTAGTAGTAGTAGTAGTAGTAGTAGTAGCAGTAGCCGTAGAAAGAATATCAGTCGTAACCGGCGTAGTATTCGCCGGCGTAGTAGTAGTAGTAGTAGTAGTAGTAGTAGTAGTAGTAGTAGTTGTTGTTGTTGTTGTTGTTGTTGTTGTTGTTGTTGTTGTCTTCGTAACACTATCATGACCCCGAGTCGCAGAGGGATGTGTAGTATTCGTGGGTCTAGTGGTCGTATTCGTTGGTATGGCGGTGCACGTAGGGTGTAAAAAGTGGTATGTGGTTTTCTCGGTCGCGTAATTCTAACGCTTTCATCGCCTACTCACAAAAGGACTGGTGGGAGCCGATGAAACGCTATCGCTGCCTTATTATTTTGCTTTGTCTGCCCGAATTCGTACTAAATGACACGTCACACGTCAGAGGTCTTGCATTGTGTATCACATGATGTTCTTATTTCTGGCTTTTACCTTTCTAGCTCTCTCGATCGTTATGGATATATGTAGATTTATTGTTCGCTTTCTGTCTCGCCTTGTCTCCGTCTTTCTTTCATTGTTCTCTCTCTCTCTCTCTCTTCCGCGAGTCGCGCGTCCTCCGATGGCAACGACAAGCTCCTCAAGCCGCCGCTTCTGGAACCGCTCCCCGCTCTCGCCCTCTTATCGAATTTCTAGGTGCGGGTCAGAAGACCGATGAACGACCGCCGATTTCGGTCGAAGCGGAAGCCAGAGAGGATGCTTACACCAATGGTTTGGTCAGTTTTTCTGCTGGCCTGGTGCCCAGTGCCCCCCGGAAGTACTTGGAGGCCTCCGGAGACTAGCAAGGGCCAAGAACGTAAGAAGGGATTCCTTCCTCTCGTGGGCAAAACGTGGCAGCTTGAGTTCGACGAGAGCTGCAAAACGGCGCCACCACTGTTTCCACTTGCCATTCGTGGGGCCACGCTGTGGCCGCCTCGAGTATCGGTCGGCAAGGTCGCCAGGACGGGTTTCGGGGCTGAGAGTTTTGTTCGGGCTCCAGCGAGGGCCCAGATTTTCGCCGCCGTCGCTGCTGGATCTTTCCTCAGGGAGGAACGGTTACGTGGTATCTTCGGGGGACCTTGTCTGTCTTGTAAATTGCGGTCCATCCTGATATCTGACGGGTTCTGCGCGGATTCAGTGTGGATTCGACGCGGATTCGACATGGATTCGACGCGGACTCGACGCGGGTGGCGGCGCGACAGGACAGGACAGACAAGGTCTCCCGAAAACGCAACAGAAAAATGATTGACGGCAGCTGCGCTGGTATAGTGATAACTGCCTCTGAGGTTGGGCTGCCGTCGCATCTTCGCGTCATACGCAAATCACTGCGAATGATTTCTGCAGCTTTAGGAGCGTAGGGGCCCTCATTTGGCCCCGAGGCTGTGAACAATTATTCCTGACGAGCAAAGGTTCCCTGGGGGGATCCGGACCTTTGGGGAGCCGCGTTGTGAAAATCACGGCGTTTGGGTTGGGGCCGACAGTAGCTTGGACATTTCTGGAAGTATGGCTGTCGTGGCCAGAATGTTGGCAGCTGTCGGTGGCTGGCTTCAACCTCGCAGAGTTGTCTGAACTGTTTGGGTGTGGGGCTTGACCATGGCGGGCACTGGCACCACACACGCTTCTTTTTGGGGGGCGTCGCGGCCTCACGAGCAGCGTCGAGGTGTAGCAGGTCGAAGAGCGAAAAGTGGGGAGCGTGCGCGGCCGGCCCACTCGGCGAGATTGCGAGGGGCGAGTGACAAGGCAGGATGGGAAGCGCAGGTGCAGCGGACAGGAACGTGAGTGAGGTGGCGGAAAAATCGCAGGGGATCACACTCACACGCTGAAACTATTTGTTCGCCGCCTCAGCACTTGAGTTGATGAGATAACTCGGACGGACAGGGCTTAAAGCAGGTACGCCCGGGCACGTTCGTCCGTCCTCAATTGTTTTCTTGCCTAAAGTTTGCACTTGAACTTTCCTGCTGCTTTCCTTTCGCCTTCATTTCGCCTGCACTTTCTGTACGTGTTGCCTGCTGTATTTCGCTGTTACATGCTCTTTCAACATTTTGTTGTTTTCTTTGATCTTGTTTGTCTTGAAGCTTTCCTCATGTTTGCGTAGGCGCCTCTCCCCAGTATGGAGGAAGCCCCTAGTCGAGGTCGCGCAGAGTTCGTGCTGTCTTTCGTGAGGAAACGATCAGGAGGACGATGAGAAATATGGTGACACATTTGGACAAGGTCGAGCAGCAGCTGAGTGAATAGTAACGGGCGACTGCGGTGAAAGAGGAGGAGGAGGAGGAGGAGGAGGAGGAGGAGGAGAAAGGAGGACCAGAGTAATCCGAGGATGCGTGACTGACGCCGGATCACACCTTCCTGTCCCAAGAAGTCCCCATAGGCCGTCCTTTTCACCACAAGAAGCGCCCCCTTGAACGACAAGAACCTACTGGGCTTGACACTGAGGCGAGAGCTACGTGAAGGAACTGTCTTGCACCCTTCTAGCGACTTGGTCGGAATGCGAACATGCAGGATCCTAAAGTTCAGAGATGTGTCCAGCGGGAGCCCCGTGAGAAGGAATAGCCTTCCATCCCTGAAATCGTTTTGCACATTTATTTTCTTGGCTGCTAGAACTGTTGAATTCAAAAACGATGAGCCCATCTTGAAACAGGAACAAGTTTCCATTTTCCCAGTTGGATATGTTCAAGCTTTTGGTTTTTGTTTGATTTGGGGAAGTACCAATCGAGAGCCACATTCGAAAAGGAGCCGCGCCCCCTCGTCCTTACTGCTACAAGTTGTAAAGTTGCATGTGCGCGGCGCTGAGGCGATAGCCCCAATGTGAAAACCACACCTTACTCATTTGGTGTGGCTTGAAGGATGAACGTGCGCGGCACTCAGGCGAGAGTCCCATTCTGGAAAGGAACCGCCCTCAATCCGCGTAGCTGTTGCAAGCTTTGAGACGAATGCGGGCGGGGCTGAGGCGAGATCCCACATGTTGGAAACGACCCCCCTCCAACCGCGTATTTGTTGGGAAGTTCAAGCTTCACGATCCCATGTGGTGAGGAAGCTTATGGCGAGACGCCCGGCCCGCCTTGCCGACACGTCTGGGGGCGCGACAGGGAGGATTTGTTCATCAGGCAGAAGGATTCGTCCAGGCCTCCCACATGGGGTCCTAGTAGATGGAGTCGAAGGATCGCGCTGATACACTGCCGATGTGTCGGCTATGCGGCTCGATGTGGAGCCCGATTTGCTCAACCCCGACGGCGGCGATACAGCGCCGACGCCGCCGATGCATCGCTGATGCATCGGCGATTGAGCAGAGGCAAAACAAGCAGTAGCAGGTCTCTTCGGTCTCTTCGCCGGGCGGTCACCTGGAAGGACGCGCGTGGCCCCGAGGAGGGGCAATGAACAAATGCACAAAGCAGCAGCAGAAGGATATGTTGATGGAGGATGATGATCAGGGGCAACGTTAGGGGGGATAGGCTCAGGAGAGAACGCATCGACCCCCAATCGCCGACAGAGGCCCGATCCATCGGAGATGTATCGCCGATTCCAGCTCGATGCTTCCCCCCCCCTGAACTGGCTCTGGAGACCCTGAGCAAGGCATGTTGAAATCTCTTCTGTTTCCGTTGAGCTTCCGCCGAGGAGGAGGAGGAGGAGGAGGAGGAGGAGGAGGAGGAAGAGGAACTGGGAGGAGGAAGGACGAGAAGAGGAGCAGGAGGAGAAATGCACCGCATGGCGGCAGCTGCCTCCTTCGGGTACCGGCTTCCGCCTGCAGATGCGCCCTAACTTGATTTCCGCAGCCCATCACTGGCCGTTCGAGTCGTCGAGGTCGTGGTAGCCCTTTCTGGAACTCCTCTGGTAGGAGCATCCGTGTGGGGCTGGGCAGAGGAGCTAGGGCGACAAGGAGCGGGCAGGTGTGCCGGTTTTTCCTCACACTGTCCGGGAGGAGCCAGACCCCATTGTAGGTTGGGACGGGCAGGCGTGCACCAATCGACCCCCTTCTTCAGGACGTGTTTTAGGCAGCGCATCTACATGGTTGATGGGTTTGGGAAACCGTGCCGTTGCGTTTTTGGTGAGCATTGCATTTTTGGTGAGTGTTGCATTTACACGTGATTTGCACGTTTGATGGTCTTATGTCTGTGAAGAATTGCGGCCGAGCGTCCATGAAAAACACATCGACCTTCGATCGCGCGGCACGCGGTCTCATTGTACAATGGACTCGTCTCCGGTAGCAGCACGGGGATAAGGCGGCAGTGTCGGGCACGTGGCATGCCGGGTAGGCGCGTGCATTTCCTGCCGGCGCGCCCATTGCGCCTCAGCCTTTCTTTTACCGTGTGAAGGGGTGTGGATTAGGAGCTGGTTTGGATGGAAGTGGCGAGAATATCAATATTTGTTGAGCTGTACCTTCTTCTCCAATTGGCTTCAGGAGGAAGGTATACATGCACGGCGGAACACAGATGCTTGTGAGGGCAGTCGCCATCGCTTTTTGTCGGGAAACGGCCGAGTCAGGAGCGCAGCGTGGAGTTCAAGCGAGGTCTCTGCAAGGCCCCACCTGGGTAGCTAAATATCGGCATGGCGGGCGGACAGTTTTGCATATCGTCGCGCTCATCTGTTGGCTGTCTTCCAGTCAGTCACGCCTTCGCCAATGAAAGAAGCTTCGATTCAGTGCATTCGTGTGTTACTGGTTGGGTACGGGTACTGAAAGATGGGTCATCGGAAGATTTGATCGCCTCTCCTGCGCCTGGCATCTAGCTTTCGCCAGCTCGCACATGATCGAGTCAACCGTACATGCGTAACGAGTGTTCAAGCATCATTCATGTATCATGGGAGCGTGTTATTCTCGAGGGCAAGCTTGCTTGTGTGAGTTTGCGGGCACGCGTGTGCACTCATGAATTATATGAGCCTCGGGGCCTTTGGAGCCTCTTGGACACCTCTCTGGGTGGAGGGCTTGACATATCAGTTCGGGTTTCCCCGCCCCACAGTCATGCGACAAGTCCCCGAAGCGCCCGTGAGTTTAGTGTCTGGGCTCCTTGAGATAGTAGTGCCAATATGCCATACGGAGAACTCGAAGGGACTTGAGGACACACCAGTTAGTGTCTACAGCACTGTATGGTGACCGTGTGTGTGTGTGTGTGTACATACACATGTGCGCCACTATCAGACATTACACATAGCACCATGTATGGTCAAAACTGCATAGGCGCTTCGCGCCATGCACCTTGCCCCTTGAAGTTCCGCAAACAGCCAGACATGTAACGATTACATCGATCTATTCTTATCATCGTTGTCGTCCTCGTCGTTTTCCTCCTTTTGATGTTCCGTTCCCTCATATTCCATTTTCCTCGTTGTCGCCCTTCCCTGCGAATGTTTCCACGTCGTCCTTCTCAGCCTTCAGCGGTGCCTCCTCCTCGCATGGTCCTTTGGGGGCCCCTCGAAGGCTTCTTCGGGGCTACTTCGGGGCCTCTTGGGGTCTGGAGGCCTCCTGGGAGCCGTTGGGGGCTTCTTGAGGCCATATTGTTTCCAACCCCAGTCTCCCTCAACACTCGGGTCACGAGTTCGTCCGTCTTGGTGCTCTCCCAGGGTCGTCTTGGGACTCTCTCGGGCCGTTGGGTCTCGTGGCCCGCCTTCAGGCGTTTTTGGCTTGGCTCACGGCGACCTTAGGGCCTCTGCAGCGGTCTCGGATGCCTGGAAGACCGAAGAACCAAACATCCAACAGTTGCGCAAAAAACTGAAAGGACATTGGTGAACTTTGCGTTTGGAAGGCCTGTTGGGGCTCTTCTTGGGTTCGTCTTGGAGTAAGGTGGAGGTCTCTGGAGCCGCTCGTGGCTCTCATGGAGCTTTCGGGGCGCCCTCCTGGCAGCTCTGGGTCCGCCATTTGGGTCAAGCAGGAGCGCCCAGGAGGCCGTGCAAGGCCGATGGAACGCTCTGCCGAGGGCGTCTCCAACGGGTTCCGCGGGGACCGCGGGTACTGGAGGTCTGTTCTTCTAAGGGCCCCTCAGTCTAAAGGAGGCTGGGCGAGCGCGAAATGTAGCGAGCGTGTGTCCGCGGCCGTTTCGGCCCAGCGACCGGCCGCCCATTTGACTGTGCTTTTCCGAGGTGCACTACCATACGTCGAGACCGAACAGGCATCATCCATTTCGCTTGAGATGTATCGCCGCTCCCGCGGCTAACTCCTACTTCTGGGACTATCGTTGATACGGTACAACAGGGTTGGACGCATGCTTCACCTTAGGCGAAGCATCTGGTTGGGCCTTCCGACCAGCTTCATGCTTGGTAGCGGAGCTGGCCGTTGGTGGTCAGTTTTAGCTTTATTCTTCACTACCCACGGCACTATCTGATGGACTATCGACATGGTGGAACATGAAGTGGCTCTGCGCGGAGGAGGTCTGTACCATCGCAAGGACACTTGCAGTTCTGCCAATGCTTACGCGGCGGTCTCCTACTTGAGCCCTACCTCTCTGCGCTACTACACTCCTGAAATGGCCCCACCTACGCCAACTGGCAATTTCGTCGAATATACTTTGCGTGGTAACACGCGATGAGATATTGTGCCGCCTCCACCTCCGCGCAGGTTGACGGCATCGCCACCCCACAAACAACCGACTCTGACTTACGAGGCCATTGGGTTGGCATCGTTATCTTTGGCCTTCTATGGGTCGCTATCGGATGTGCTGTTGGACATATGCAGCGTAGTAGAGACGACGCACGCACTACCAGCCCCCGCTGGGACCCTGCCGGCAAAGTACCTTTCCGCGAGTTCGCTCGCGAGGTATATGCTTGGATCGACGTGGCCACAGGCACGATGACCCCCTCCCAACAGGCCCCCTCCCAACAGGCCTGGGAGGTCTCGCAAGGGCCATGGCCATCAGAGCCCCCCCCGCAGTAATCAACTATGGTGTGAACATTGGTGGTCGCCAGACCGACGGCATCACCCACATTGTTCTTAGTCAGCACCAAGTTTGAGAACCTGAAGGAGGAACGACAGTTCAACTCGGGGACGGCTCTCATTGACCTTCGCGTCCATGTGGGAGAGCGGATCGACCAGGCGCTGGCCCGCTTTGACATGGCGCGCTTCGAAGCCGACGCCGCGGGGTTCAACGTCCCAAACTTCCAGATCTTGACTGCATATTTTTCGGAGCTCTGGGCTTTGGCATTTCGCGTGCGCAACAACAACTACAACCGCTGAACCACCGAGTGCCAAGGATCCAGCCGCAGTTCGACGCCTTACTGGGGCGCGTGAGGGTTTACGCCCATATTGCTGAGCGAACCCATGGTATTATTGGTGGTGTTTTTAGCCGCGGCCACGGCGCTGATGTCTTTCACGGCAACACTCGCGCGGGGCAACCTGCCAGCCACGTCTGGAATGGCGATCCACAGCCAAACGAGGCCACCGCTCTAGTAAGCCGACGGGGTGGTCAGCCCACGGGGTCGCAAAGCTCCTGGGCTCGATGCCTGGGGCCCGGTGATGGCGAGGGCCAATCTGTTGCGCCACCAAGGCGCCGCCGCCCCCCCCAAGGCGCCCCAAACTGATGGCGGCCCTGACGACCCTATCGGCATTGGGACTGGCGGTTTCCGCAACGCCCAGCATGGAGCTCGACCGGGGGACTGTATTAGGGCCCTCGTGGTCCACGAGAAAACCGCCGAGCTGCCGCTCGCCCTCGTTGAAGGCGCAGCCAACTTGAGGGGGGGCGGCTACCGTCTGCGACATCGTTAAGTCCGTGGAGGAGCATGTACTAGTGACAGGCAAGCGCGTCCTGATCGTCTGTGGATACCGAGCACAGGTGGCCTCGATCAGAGCCAGATGGCCGATCGACCGCGCCGCCGTCTTCAGCGCCTACCAGGAGAGGGGCGAAGGCAATGACAATGCCGCCAGTCGGAGCACGCCAGGGCAGTCCAGAGCCTCCACGCCCCAGGGGCGCCCTGCCAAAGGCGCACCAAAATGCAGCGCCCCCCTCGGGCATTATCTTCAGGTGCGCCCCGCCACCGAACCCAGCGGCCTGCAGCTTCCCTTCAGCGGCATCGAAGCGAGGTGCCCTCGCTTGGTCGACGAGGGCCTCGCTGGCGCGTGCACCATCGACGGCGGCCAAGGCGACGACCATTCTGGTGATCTTCTGCGCCGCCCGCGCAAACTCTATTGGACAGTTGGGCTTTCTCGACGAACCCCATCGCATCAATGTGCCCTTTACAAGGGCTCAGGAAGGAGTCGCTGTCATGCTGAATGCCCAGATGGCCGCTGCAGCTGCCGAACTCCAGCTCCGCCTCCTTGCGGAGTGGGCGGACGTCGCCGGGCTCTGGTCCAGCTTCGAGGGCGCCCCAGGCAGCCGAAGTACGCTCAACGGGCCCGTCAGCTTCTCGCCTGCCAAGGTGCGAGAGGCCCCAGCGGGTCCGCGCGCTCCGCTCACCTCCCACTACGAACAAGCTCGGGTCTCTGCTGAGCAAGAGCGGCTCAGTGACATCAGGAAGCCCCGGCAACTTGCTGAACAGCGGGCCATATGCTTCCAGGCCCTGCGTGACTCCCCGCTCCCTCCAGGACGCAACTGTGAAAGGCTGAGTGAGGAACAGCTGGGAACGGCCACGGCGGTCCTGGACGATGCAGGCCTGACGCCTGCGTTGTACTATGTGCACAGACTCCACCCCCGCATGTATGGCCCAGGGGACTCGCCGACAGACCTCTACGAACAGTGCCGGAAGTTGGTCAGTCACGATGGCCACCCATGCGACCGCGAGCTGGGCACTGGCGCCTCCAACCATGTGTGCGCCGCGGCCTGGGCAGGCCAACTACAGGTGGCCGGGCATCAATCCAGCGCAGCTCCCGACCGAGCCATCGAAGACAACCGCCTCCCGCCCCTCCCTCGGGAGGGCGATGCGAACCCTGCTGGAACTGGCGCGCTGACCAACCTCCCAAGGGCACGACCAGACGCCCACCTGCTGTATGGAGCGCGAGCACATGTGAGTGCACTCGCCACCAGGGCGCACCTACCCTACAGCACCTAGCGGCACTCACCGACCAGCAGGAGCGGCCCCTCGAAAGTCCCTCCAGCCCATTAAAAGATAGCCCCATCCAGCGCACAAGAGCGAACGCCATCTTGGTTCTGATGCTCCTCCTCGTCAGGGGGCCCAGGCCCAGCTTGGCACCTTGCGGAAGTCCAGGCCGCATTGGCGACATTTTGGGGGCTGCGCATAGCATCTGCTTCCCCTACAGCCGCGCGCGCCTGCTAGTGCGGGACAGCTTTGGCCGGGCTCGCAACCTTGTGGGCGCCGGCTTTACCGCCGGGTTTCGCGCGCGCCTGGAGGTTTTCATCGAAGCATGCTCCAGGCTGGCCACCGTGGCGCACTGTCATCCTAACGTTCAGGGGGATCAGGCTGCCCCCCAGGCCCCTCCCTGCCTGGGGGGCCCCCGCTGTCCCCGCCCAGGAGAGCACCCCGCTGGCGGACCTCCTGCTGCCCCCGAAGGGCCCGCATGACCCCGCTCGCACCCGCGCCGCCGCCCCCGTCTTCCGCGCCAGTGACGACAGGGTCGGCGAGAGTCTCGGCCGTGGCCTGTGGAAATGCCAATGCGACCGCTTCCCCAACGACGCCCCCCATGAAGCAGCGTGCGCGCGGAGATGCCCCGTTGGGCATGTTCACGCAGCTGCCCCGTGGGCTTCCACTCCTTCCTCAACGCGCGCGCAGGTTTTCGCCGACATGCAGTGGAATGCAACGAGGTTCTGTGGCGATTGCTTAATTTACTTGTGGGATGCCCGCCCGAGCCAAGTCAAGGCCATCCTCGAGAGGGACGGGCGCGTTCTGTTCCCCAAGGCTGTGCCCAAAAGGGACAAGACATCGCCTCTCCCTGCGCCGTGCGACCAGCGGCTACTGCGCCGGCGCGTCGGTCAGCCCCCATCGCCCGACGACGACCAGCCACCGGGCCCGCTAGGGGCCTGGGCCCCCAAGCCGGCGGCGGGCGCTCCCCGGCAGGAAGCAATTAAGGGCCGCGGGCGCCTCCGCCCCGCCTGCCTCGCAACGACAGCGCCCTCAGGATCCCCGCCCAGCCCGCCGGCGGCCCCGCAGCCTGGAAGCCGACGAGCCGGGCAATGTTGGCAGACCACCCAGGATCAGTTCAACCTCGGGGGCGCTCTCCAGCTATTCCCCCAGTGGCCGCGCGGCAACCTCGCGTGGGCGCCAGACCAGTCGCGGCCGCGGCGCCTCGCGGCAATCCTTCATCCGTCGGGGCAGGGCGCCGCCGGGCCGCCGCCCCGCAGACTCCCGCAGCCCCCTCGCCAGGACACGACCTGGCTTAATCGGTCAGCCTCAGCGCGAAGGACAGACGGCGACGACCAGGTGAGACAGACAACGGACCCGGCTCGGCGCCCCGCCAGCCTCTTGGACGGACATCCCAGCGTCCACCGATCGACTGGCCCCCGCCTTAGGGTAAGGGATATCGCTACTCCTACAGGCAGCCTGGCACATCCACCCAGACACCACGCGCGGGAGTGCGGGCAATGCGATCGTGCACATCATGGTGGCGCTTGCCCGATCAGTCTCTCCTGAGGTAGATGAGCGCTGGAAGACTCGGGCGGCGGAGAACATGTCCTCCTCGCTCCGCAAGCCTGGGAAGGGCTTGGGTCCGCCTTCTGACCCCGTGGCGTGGCCTGAAGCAAGCTGTCGCGATTCCATGCCATATCCTGGGCCCCCCTCCCGGTGTCCGATGGGGCGGTAGACGTGCCGCCTTGGCCCTGCTGGTCAACCGCCTGCATCGCCGGGGCCCCCGAGCCCCCATCCAGCTCCCACAAGGGGCCCGACGAATGGGATGTTTCCCGCTGCAAGCGCGACCCCCGAGCGTCAGTGAAGGGGCGAGACCTTGCTTCGTGGGGCCAGGACATCCTGCTCGGCAGCCTGTGCTCGAGGGGGACCACGCCCCTCCAGAGCCCGCTGGTGCGGGTGTGCCGGGCAACCGCGGCAAGGAAGAGGCTGGCCCTCGCAGATGCCGCCCCCGGAGCTCCCCCGCAGGAGGCAGCAGGCCGCCCCCTTAGATTAGAATCCAAAGAAGAGCACAGGGCTTGTCGATCCTGCAACAGCGCCCTGCGCGCCGAGCAGCCTGGACTGCCGCCACCCCCGGCGCCGCCGCGGCCAATTCCTGGCCGGCTTGCCGCCGGCCTATCCCCCCCTTCCTCGGAGCCCAGGGCGGCGGCCGCCGGCGCGACGCTGGCGGGGGGGGCGCGCGTCTGACCAGGCCGCTGGAAGACCCCCTTGAGGCAGGACGCGACCAGAAAGATAGCAGCTCCAGCCCCCCCCTGGCCTCTCGCGGGCGCTCCGGCCAATCGGCCTGCGACTGGAGTGAGGAGCGAGCTCCCCTTGGCAGCCCAGCCGGCAGCCATTCCGAGAGGCGGCGCAACCCCGGCAACTCCTCTCAGCCGACTGCCAATGCGGTCGCTTCCTCCAGCTAGCCCCAACCGCTCGCAGGCGCCGCCGCTGGGACAGTCTGGCGCCGGCGCCTTGCGAGCAGCAGCGGAAGAGCCGGTGCGCAAAACTCCCGGGACTGACGAGCAACTCAGTCCAGGCGTCTCCCAAAAGTGGCGCAGATGGGGCACTGCGGAGCGAGTCCCGCCCTGGCGGCAGGAGCCGACGCCGCGCCGCCCCCGGCCCGCTGCCCCCGGCCTTGTCCGACGCCGCGGATCAGCTCCATTACGAACCGCGGCGCACAGTGACATGGCGCCCCGTTTGGAACTATACAGCTGACGCAAGGGAGGACTAGGATGAGGTGGTCAACCGCCTCGAGAAGGAATGTGGCCCCATGTTGGCGATCGGCAGGAACGCCGCAGATCTGCGACCGCGGGTGGGGGCCGCGCTCCGCCGGGGGCCCCGGGCGTCACTGCGCCGACCTCTGCCGAGGCTTTGTGCGCGAGCTCGGCGAAGCCGACTGCGATGTCCATGGGCTGTGCAGGCGCGAGGGCATCCGAGTCGACTGGGGCACCGAGTGGCATCGGGAATTTGTCAGGGGGAGACGCAGCGCCGAGCTTGCCAAAGGCAAAGGGAAGGGCCCCCTGCCGCAGGGGAAAGAAAGGCGAGCGGCCCGCAGACTCCTCCTGGCCCAGCAACTATCCCACTCGTCAGCGCTGGTCAGCCTTAGCAGCCACCGCTGGTAACTCTCTTGCAGCTGCCTCGCCACCTTGACCTGCTCTGAGTTTGGCGTCCAGGCACTGGCTGCCCTGGTCTTCTGCCCTCCTCACCCCTCTGCCCTTGCGGCGCTCCTGTCGCAGCCGCGCGCTTATTCGGCGCTCCCCCCGCTGGCGCCCAGTCTCCGCTCGGGGCCTGATTCCTCCCGCCACCGTCGCTTCATGCCCAGCGGCTGCCGTCTCCGTGGTACTCCGCTGCGCACCGCGCCGCTCCACATCCCTGCTCGCGCTCCGCGGGGACCTCCCGCTGGCGCTCGGGGTGGCTCCTTGGCTGTTCAGCCGACGCACGAGGTCGCCCCGCCTGGGCGTGTGCCCTGCGCCTCAGTGGGCCGGTCCTGCCGCCCGCTCGTGGCCTCCGGGCCTCTCCCCCGCTCCGCCTGGGGGGTGCCCTGCTCCGCCGCTGCAACTCCTTACTTCGGCCCGGCCCTCCGCGGGTTTTGCGCGGGCGTTGCCTGTGGCGGCACCCTCTGGGCCTTTGCCGTGCCCTGTGCCGGCCGGGCGACGCTCGCCGCCCTGCCTGCGTCTTGCGCCACAGCCTGGTTTTCAGGTTTCCGTTCCAGTCACCGGCTATTTGTGTTTGGTGGGCGCTGCCGCTCCCCCTTGGCACCTTGCCCCGCCCGTTGGCTTGCGCCTCTCAGGCCCTCTGGTTTCGTCGCTCGCCTCGCCCTTTTGCCCTCCCTGGGCCCGCCGCTCCCCGTATTGGCATGGTCCGTCCTATTGCTTCCGGCCCACCACTTGGGGCATCGCTGAGTCTTTGCCATTCTGCCTCCTCGCTTTGCGCCCTGTGGTCTCGGCGTTTTTGCCCGTCCTTGCTTTTGCTCGCCCGCCATCCATTTGCGCCCTCAGCTCCGTGCCGTTCCCCCGGCGTGGGTGGCTTCGACTCAGGGTCGCCATTCTCCGTCGCTCGCTGGGCTACGGTGCCGCCTGTCGGGTCGCTCTCGTGCCTGCCCGCCCGCGTTTCGCTTCCCGCCGCGCCTCGTAGGCCCGCGGGTCTCGGCACCTGGGACCGCGCCTTACCGTTTCATTGGGGCGGGTCTCTGCTACGCATGTGGTGCTCCCCCACTGGCCGCCCAGTCTGGCTGAGCTGCCTTCCCCCCCCAGTTGCAGGTCAGCGCCGGCGCTGGTTCCCTCCGACGGCGTTTCCCTTGCCGCAGCCGGTGCCTTGCCTGAGCGGGCCCGGCTTCGTCTCTCTCTGTCGCGCCGGGGCTCCTCCCCCGCCTTCGTGCATCGCGGCTTTGATTTGCATGCGATGTGTCCCCTGCTGCCTGTCCGCCGGAGCAGTCGCTCTCTGCCCAGCCGCCGACGCAGAAAGGTGTTATGTATGTATAGATGTGCAAGTTTGTATATCAATATATAAATTATATATGTAGAGAGGGATATATATATATATATATATATATACAGCTATATATATATAGAGAGAGAGAGAGAGAGAGAGAAAGAGAGAGAGAGAGAGAACAAAAAAAAGAAAGGAAGAGAGAGAGAGAGAGGGAGAAAGAGAGGGAGAGAGAGATTTCGGCCAGCCCGATCCGTTCCGATTCTAATATTCAGACGATCCGATGGGGCCCGATGCCTGCATAGCAATAATGTGTACCCTGGCGCCGCTGGCCCGATCCGAACTGGGCTCCATGCCGATGCAGCCCGACCCGACGCTCATTCCGATTCGGTCCGGTTTCCCGATTCGATGCCGATTGATATTGCACTCCGCATAGCGGTTGTCTCCTCCCCCCTCCGCGCGTCGCTGGGCCCGCAGTTGGACCCGCGGGGCGCGAGCCCCTGCATGCTGCAAGTCTGCAGGGCGTCTCCGCCGCGCGCTTTGTGGCTCTTGGAGGGATGGGGGGCGGTGGAGTGGGGTTGCGGGTGCGCTTAAACAAGGGAGTGAGGAGTGAGGACGTGTGAATATCATCGCCAGGGCCCTGGCATCTCTCAGATTTGATGTCATGGCCACCTCTTCTTCTTTCAACTCGCCCCCTGACTCCTGCTCGTCTGCATGCTTCAGGAAATGGTGCGCCTCCCTCCCCCCTGCTTGACTTCCTTTTCCGGCGGCGCCCGAAGAGGGGCAGGCAAGTTCTGCGAGCACTTGCCAACCCTACCCCTGCGGGTCCAATTAGCGCTGGGGTATCGGACACCCTCGTTGGGGTTCGCCTGGCTACAGACATCCTTCAAATTATGAGCCCAGCCGCTTTTTTTATAAATCTGACCTGCAGGGGTAGGGTTCACTCATGGTTGCATACAGGTGGACTGTCAAACTTCGCCTGGGTGCTGAGCACAGCCCTCTTGATGGGCACCCCCCTCTTCCGTGCGCGCTTAGGACCATCAGCCGACCAGCCTCCGTGGCCATGCAGCTTGAAGACAGGTGAGTGCCGGGGCTGCGGGCCCCAGGATTGTCAAACAATCGTTCAGGATGAAGACCTGGCTTCATCGGAACTCCCCAGGGTTCAGGACCCGCTTCCGTCAGGACCC